ACAGTACAGGTGTGTGTGACACGGTACAGGTGTGTGTGACACGGTAGAGGTGTGTGTGACAGTACAGGTGTGTGTGATACAGTACGTGGGCAGGGTGAGCTCAGGTGTGTCACAGGTGTGGTACAGGTGTGGTACAGGTGTGACATGGTTCAGGTGTGCCCCAGGTGTGACAGGTGTGTCCCTGCCCCAGATCATCACCTCGGAGGAGGCGGAGCGCCGGGGACAGGTGTACGACCGCCAGGGCGTCACCTACCTCTTTGATCTGGATTATATAGACGACGTATACACCGTGGACGCCGCCCACTATGGCAACATCTCGCACTTCGTCAACCACAGCGTGAGTGCGCCTCACCTGGGCCCAGCTGTGGGCTTACCTGGGCTCAGGTGTGGGTTTAACTGGGCCCAGGTGTGGGCTTACCTGGGCTCAGGTGTGGGCTTACCTGGGCTCAGGTGTGGGCTTACCTGGGCTCAGGTGTGGGTTTAACTGGGCCCAGGTGTGGGCTTACCTGCCCACAGGTGTGGGTTTAACTGGGCTCAGGTGTGGGTTTAACTGGGCCCAGGTGTGGGCTTACCTGGGCTCAGGTGTGGGTTTAACTGGGCCCAGGTGTGGGCTTACCTGCCCACAGGTGCGGGTTTACCTGGGTTCAGGTGTGGGCTTAACTTGGGTTCAGGTGTGGGTTTACCTGGGCTCAGGTGTGGGCTTACCTGGGCTCAGGTGTGGGTTTACCTGGGTTCAGGTGTGGGCTTACCTGGGCTCAGGTGTGGGCTTACCTGGGCTCAGGTGTGGGTTTACCTGGGCTCAGGTGTGGGCTTACCTGCCCACAGGTGCGGGTTTACCTGCCCTCAGGTGTGGGTTTACCTGGGTTCAGGTGTGGGTTTACCCGCCCACAGGTGGGGGCTTACCTGGGCTCAGGTGGGCTTACCTGGGCTCAGGTGTGGGTTTACCCACCCACACGTGGGGGTTTACCTGAGCTCAGGTGTGGGTTTACCTGTTCTCAGGTGTGGGATTTACCTGTTCTCAGGTGTGGGTTTACCTGGGCTCAGGTGTGGGTTTACCCGTTCACAGGTGTGGGATTTACCTGTTCTCAGGTGCGGGTTTACCTGAGCTCAGGTGTGGGTTTAGCCAGCCACAGGTGTGGGATTTACCTGTTCTCAGGTGTGGGTTTACCTGGGCTCAGGTGTGGGTTTACCTGAGCTCAGGTGTGGGATTTACCTGTTCTCAGGTGTGGGTTTACCTGGGCTCAGGTGTGGGATTTACCTGTTCTCAGGTGTGGGTTTACCTGTTCTCAGGTGTGGGTTTAGCTGCCCACAGGTGTGGGATTTACCTGTTCTCAGGTGTGGGTTTACCTGTTCTCAGGTGTGGGTTTACCTGTTCTCAGGTGTGGGTTTACCTGCCCACAGGAGGGTATTCATGTGGGCCGAGTTGTGGGTTTACCCTCCCACAGGTGGGGGCTTACCTGGGCTCAGCAGTGAATTTACCTGGTTTCAGGTGCGGGTTTACGCGCCCACACGTGGGGGTTTACCTGAACTCAGGTGTGGGATTTACCTGTTCTCAGCTGTGGATTTACCTGCCCACAGGTGTGGGTTTACCTGAGCTCAGGTGTGGGTTTACCCGTTCACAGGTGTGGGATTTACCTGTTCTCAGGTGTGGGTTTACCTGGGCTCAGGTGTAGGTTTACCTGCCCACAGGTGTGGGCTTACCTGGGTTCAGGTGTGGGTTTACCCGCCCACAGGTGGGGCTGAACCTGCTCCCAGATGGGCCTTTACCTGTGCAGAGGTGTGGCCTTACCTGCCGTGTGGGTGGCGCTTCCAGCACCTGTTCCCCAGGTGTGGGCGTGTCTCGGGTGCCGTGGGTGGAGCTCATGGGGGTGGGGCTCACCTGCCAGGTGTGTCTCACCTGCCGGGCGGGGCAGTGTGACCCCAACCTGCAGGTGTACAACGTGTTCATCGAGAACCTGGACCAGCGCCTGCCGCGCATCGCGCTCTTCGCCACGCGGCCCATCCGGGCAGGGGAGGAGCTCACCTTTGACTACAACATGCACGGTACCTGCCGCACACCTGGCACACCTGTACCTGGCACACCTGTACCTGGTACACCTGTACCTGGCACACCTGTACCTGACACACCTGTACCTGGCATACCTGTACCTGGTACACCTGTACCTGGTATACCTGTACCTGACACACCTGTACCTGGTATACCTGTACCTGGTATACCTGTACCTGACACACCTGTACCTGCCACACCTGTACCTGGTACACCTGTACCTGGTATACCTGTACCTGACACACCTGTACCTGGAACACATCTGTACCTGGTATACCTGTACCTGACACACCTGTACCTGGTACACCTGTACCTGGCACACCTGTACCTGACACACCTGTACCTGGAACACACCTGTACCTGGTACACCTGTACCTGGCACACCTGTACCTGATACACACCTGTACCTGATACACACCTGTACCTGGAACACATCTGTACCTGACATACCTGTACCTGGTACACCTGTACCTGGAACACATCTGTACCTGACATACCTGTACCTGGTACACCTGTACCTGGCACACCTGTACCTGCCACACACCTGTACCTGGTATACCTGTACCTGGTACACCTGTACCTGACACACACCTGTACCTGGCACACCTGTACCTGGTACACCTGTACCTGGAACACACCTGTACCTGATACACACCTGTACCTGGCACACCTGTACCTGGAACACATCTGTACCTGACATACCTGTACCTGATACACACCTGTACCTGGTATACCTGTACCTGGTACACACCTGTACCTGGTATACCTGTACCTGGTACACCTGTACCTGNGACATACCTGTACCTGATACACACCTGTACCTGGTATACCTGTACCTGGTACACACCTGTACCTGGTATACCTGTACCTGGTACACCTGTACCTGGAACACACCTGTACCTGGTACACCTGTACCTGGTACACCTGTACCTGGAACACACCTGTACCTGGTACACCTGTACCTGGTACACCTGTACCTGACACACCTGTACCTGGTACACCTGTACCTGGCACACCTGTACCTGGAACACATCTGTACCTGACACACCTGTACCTGGAACACATCTGTACCTGATACACACCTGTACCTGGTACACCTGTACCTGATACACACCTGTACCTGGTACACCTGTACCTGATACACACCTGTACCTGGCACACCTGTACCTGACACACCTGTACCTGACACACCTGTACCTGGCACACCTGTACCTGACACACCTGTACCTGACACACCTGTACCTGGCATACCTGTACCTGACACACCTGTACCTGACACACCTGTACCTGGCACACCTGTACCTGGTATACCTGTACCTGACACACCTGTACCTGGCACACCTGTACCTGGAACACACCTGTACCTGGAACACACCTGTACCTGGTACACCTGTACCTGACACACCTGTACCTGGCACACCTGTACCTGACACACCTGTACCTGATACACACCTGTACCTGGAACACATCTGTACCTGACACACCTGTACCTGGCACACCTGTACTTGGTACACCTGTACCTGGTATACCTGTACCTGGCACACCTGTACCTGGAACACACCTGTACCTGGTACACACCTGTACCTGGTACACCTGTACCTGACACACACCTGTACCTGCCATACCTGCCACACACCTGTCCATTTACATCCCTGTCCATTTACACACCTGTACCTCACACACCTGTCCATTTACACACCTGTACCTCACACACCTGTCCATTTACACACCTGTCCATTTACACACCTGTACCTCACACACCTGTCCATTTACACACCTGTCCATTTACACATCTGTCCTGCACAGACCTCCCTGCCCTCAGCCCACCCTGCACTGTGGGGTCGGTGCAGGGCTCAGGGCCACACCTGGGGGGGGTCCAGGCCATACCTGGGGGGGCCAGGGCCACACCTAACGGGGTCCTGGTCACACCTGTGGGGGTCCTGGCTACACGTGGGAGTTCCTGGCCACACCTGGGGGGGTCCAGGCTATACCTGGGCGTTCCTGGCCACACCTGGGGGGGGTCCAGGCTATACCTGGGCGTTCCTGGCCACACCTGGG